TTAGGGATAATCAGGCTCGAACTGATGACTTCCACCATGTCAAGGTGACACTCTACCGCTGAGTTATATCCCTTCCCTGCCCTCATCGAGAAATAGAACTGACTTATCCTAAGGTAAAGGATCAACATGGTTAGAGCCAACCTGTCTGAAACTCATGAGGGGAAGAGGGAAAATTGATGTCAAGAGGAATGTGAAGTAACAAAGAAGCTACTGGGATTACAGAAATGCCCAAAGTATGTCAGCAAGTCTTTGGATGTATTTTCTACTGGATTAGTCTTGTTATCATCTTCTCTAACCAACAGCAGCAGTACTCTTACTGAGAATCAAGTTCGATATAGATCCAAAAGTACACAATTCAAGCAGATATCGATGCTGTACAACACGAATAATCTAAAATCATAATTATCTGAATCACATCAATGGTGGAGTAGAACAGCAGAAGGTTTGTTCAAAGCATGCACTAAACACCAGTTGAACACTCTAACAAACTACCAAACCAGTAAAATCCCACTCGACGGAAGGGTGGGCTGGTGGGATGGGAGATGTACGCACACTGGACATCTAACCCAAAAGAGTAGAGCGATTGTTTCCGTGAAGACCTCCAGCTTGTGCACCATGTTGTTTAGAACTTTTGTGGTGCAATTGTAGTTTGCATTGTCATCAAACAGCATTATGTGGTTCGGTTTGCGGTTTTGAATTATAAAACCACGATTCAAACTGCACCGCATATTTTATTAATTAAAACTCAAACATTAGTATAACTCATTTGTTAGATGACTCTTCAGGTGTATATGAAGTAGTGTCTTTTGAACAAGTTATCGGGACTTGGGAGTTCAATGAAAGATAGAGTGTGGTTGTTTGTTTTGGAGCATTTTTTGTCTTAGATATGTTTTAAAAGGTTGATAAAACTTTGTTACACATTTGGATTTAATTATGTTATGCGTATCGGAACTTTGTATTGCATAGACTATCAAACTTCAGTTTGTTTTGTACTTCTGATAATAAGTATTGTGATGCAATTGATTGTATATTTCAATCAGCATTAGGTACAAACTGCACTGCACTGCATTTCGGTGCGGTTTTTCGCAGTATCAGACATGTGGCTTGGTTTACTGAATTCATTCTAACCCACACCGCAAACACCCCTACTAGGAGGTAATCTTTTCAGTCCGTTATGAGCAATAGTATCATTGAACGATGAAACTAGTCATATAGAAAAGTAACTATACTAACATAATGTAGTAGCGAATTCTTGATTCTCATACTTCTAGATAATCTTAAAATAATTATGTTCCATATAATTACATGAATCACTCGTACCTCTGCTTAATCCCTACTTAGATGACTAAGGTTTAGGTAACTCCAACACCTTGCTCCGCCTATCACTTTATAAGACACTAGGTGCGAGGATCATCTATTGCACCATATTAAAGAAGTCACTTTTGTAATTGAATGACAACAAAATATTAAGAAAAAGAACGAGAAGTGATTCTAATTTTCTAAAAGAAGAATTACCCTGATAACTAGCAACAATCAGACGTTCAACATTATGAAAGTATTCATTCAATAAGAAAGGGTTTATATTGATAGAACATGAATGATAAAGATGAAGGAATAAACGTTCTACTAACCTTAGGCAAACCAGTACTCCCGCTTGTATACATAATCACCGCGACGTCAGCTGGGAGAGGTGGATCTGCATCAACGAGACTCTCTCTGCCAATTCCTTCTACTTCAGAATACAAAAAGATTTTCCAACTGTTGCTTCCCTTTGTCCGATTGAACAATATCTCATCATCCATGCATATTACACGTTCTACCGTGTCTATTTGTTCACTTATATCTAGAAGCTTCTTCAGCTCTTTGTTTCCACAAATTACAGTAGTGACCTCTGTCTGAAAATTATTTTGAAATGTAATCAGATGGCAATTGGAGTATCATTTCTAAACAAAGAACTTTTATTTATATTTAGCTACTCCTTTTCTACCATATAGGAACTTAGAGCATCTCCAAAGGATTCTCCAAAATGGCAGAGTAAGAAGTCATGAATCTCCAAAAAAAAAAAATCACCTTCATCACCAACAGATTCTCTATTTTGGAGATTACACAATTAATTATATTATTGAAATATTCAATACAACTCGAAATATTATTTCTCTCTCCTAAACATTTAAATTCAAGCAATCTCATTGGTAGAATGAATAAAAAATTGTTTCTCTCTCATAGGTAATCATTTTTGGAGAAATCTCCAAATTTGGAGAATTTCCTCCCCTCTCTCATACTTTCTCCATTTTGGAGAAGGTTTTGGGGAACCTGTTGGAGCAAAAATCCCCAAAATCTCCATTTTGGAGAATCTGTTGGAGATGTTCTTATGCAGTGGCATAAGTACATGATGGAGCAACCACACTATGAGAGATCGGGAGAGGCAAATCTCTTAATATAAATTAGCTTTACAATAGAGAAAAATATTTAGTTTAAAAGGAAGAATAGTCAGGATAATCAGTTTTACTGATATAAGTATAGGATCTTTTTATGAAAAAAGATTGTAAGAAAACACCTTGCAGTTGAAGCAACAAGTTCACAGCAAAGCAACATGAACACTTCGGAACCAGAAAATGATATGCTGCATTAGTGATAGCATGGCAACAACTTCTTGAATATCCAAGTTCTAGCAGTCTCTTTGGTCTTCTAATGATAACATAAGGCGATGATTCATATCTTGTTACTAATAATATTGTGGTTTTGTGATTTAACATTTGGTCATCATGGTTTTGCCTTTAACAATTTAGACACAAACAATAGTAACTTTTAGCCAGGAGATCATTGAATTTAGTTACCAGACATCCATTTTACAATTTGCACTGTGATGTGCTAACTTCACAACTTTGTAGTTGTACATATTAAACTTGATATTGATTGTATTGATTGAAAAATAATAATAATCTGATACACCTTATATAGGTAAAACTAATTACACTTTGGACCCTAGAC